AAAATAAAATATAGCGACTAAAGCGCTAAGTTGGCAACACTGCTCTTTGCATGGTTTGTTTTCAAATGGTTTGCTGCTGTCTGTTTGGACCTTTCTGAACATGTGCAGCAAATGGACTGATCCAATATGGCGGACACTGAATATTATCAGCGTTCTGATATGTTAAACAATTATTTTTATCAAAAACATAATTAATGTGCACAAATAAGTTATAGCTGTATTAACCATAGATATAAAAGTAAAAAGTGAAAAAGTAGATCCTTGAACTGTTTTCTTGTTTTTCTGAATTATCAGAGTCGAGACGGAAAGAGTCCTCTTCACATGACGGCGGTCCACGGACGTTTCACCCGCTCCCAGACCCTCATCCAGAACGGTCAGCCTTCGCCATGCTCGTCATCCTCGCCGGGCGTCCTGTAACTCCGCTCGTCTTCATCGCGCCTTCGTCTTTTTTTTTTTTTCAGGAGGAGAGATCGACAGCGTGGACAAGGACGGCAACACCCCGCTTCACGTCGCCGCCCGCTACGGTCACGAGCTCCTCATCAACACCCTCATCACAAGCGGAGCCGACTGCACACGGTGAGGCATCCGCCGGTCCACAGGTGCTGTCGTCATGGAAACAGGTGTTCATCTGTTCTCTCTCTGTGTGTCTGTAGTCGGGGAGTCCATGGGATGTTTCCTTTACACATGGCGGCCTTGAACGCTCACTCTGACTGCTGCAGGAAGCTGCTGTCCTCAGGTAACTCACCTGGTGGGGAGGGGGGGTCATACCTGTCTGAATCAAAACTACAGCAGCTATAGTCACTGTCGTTAAGATGTTTAAATGCTACAAGCGTCCACCTTTATGTGAAAAATAATGCATGAACTGTGCCTGAAACCTCTCTGCGTACGTCTGAACGGAACGGCAGCGATCAGAGGGAGGAGCTTAACGAGGCGAAGCAGCTGAGTGGCGATCAGGGAGGAAGTTTACAGCAGCTTTCAGAAAACTTCTTCCTGCTGAGTCACATTTATCCAGGCAGCAGGTTCTGAAGTAAACTGTTTCCATGTCTGAGCCCCGCCCAGCGGCTGGCTGGTCAGGCTGCGTTTCAGGTCGTAGTTTTTCCAGAAACGTAAAAAACAAACCAATTTTTTTTCACCAACTTTGAAGACGTTTCGCTTCCCATCCAGAAAGCTTTCTCAAATCAAAATGTCTGCGGTAGCGTTTGAGTTCCAGGCTTATAGATTAGCCCAACAAACACTTGTTAACATGCAAATTGAACTGAAACAGGTCCCTTAATGATAGGGGGGGGGGGCATTAAACATTAAATCCTGGAACATTTCAAACCAAACAGACCCTGAAACAGAGACTAGTTCATCCTAATCTGAGCGGAGTGTCTGCAGGTCAATGCAGTGAGGAATGCTCTGATCTTTATATTGGAGAAACCAAACAACCTCTCCACAGACAGATGGCCCAACACAGAAGAGCGCCCTCCTCTGGACAACACTCTGCAGTACATCTACACCTGATGGACAAAGGACATTCTTTGGAGGACCAGAATGTTCACATTTTGGACAAAGAGGACAGGTGGTTTGAGAGGAAGGAAGCCATCTATGTTAAGAAAGAAAAAACAACCTTAAACAGAGAAACTATAACGCTGCGATAGAGTTGATTCCTTCCTGCTATCACCTCAATCCTCGTCGCCATGCAGGTGATCAAAACGTTGCTCCTGTTTAGCCAGGCCAATAACGACCCTAACGACTCCCCATTACTAACGGGTGGACCTGTTAGGTTCAATTTGCATGCTTTCTAAAGACCTGGTTATCCTCCTGCAGCAGTGTGTCGCAGATATCTTTAATTTCTGCCCAATACTGAAGCGTGGTCGGTGCTGTTATTCCACACCACAACCCAAGAGGGCCAATCAGGAACTAGCTGAGGTTCTAGATACGGCCAAGGCGGTGAGGAAGTGGGGGCAAGATTGTCCGACAAAGGAGGGACATGAGCGGGGATCCGGGTAGAAAAAGGTTCCCAGCGTTCTCACGCACCTCGCTCTGCTAGCTGCTGTATCTTCACCAGTCGTTTTCCACAATGGCGGTCAGACAAACAAAACAAGCGGGTAAAGAACCAAACAGGAAATACGTCATAGTGTAGAGCGGATGTAAATCTGACCAACCAGAGGCCTCGTGTCTGCGGCAGCGTCTGTGGCGAGGGCGGGGCATATCTGGTTTCTGAGTATAAATCCATAACGAGGCTTTTTTTGGGGCTACTCTATAAAGCCTGGAGCGCCGCACTACTCCAGACATTTTGAATTGAGAAAGCTTTCTGGACGGGAGCGAAACGTCTTCAAACCTAGAAATAAAAATTCTTGCGAATTGTTTTTTAACTTTCTGGAATAACCTCGTATAAAATCCACCTCATAGTTTTAACCGTAGCGGATCGTTATTTTTCCTTTCCTCTGACCTTCTGTCCAGCGCTCTACCAGCTGGGATCAACTCCTCCCAGTTCTGATGTGTAAATGTGACCTAACGCTTCCTGTGGCTGAGCTGGTTTCCCCTCCTTTCCACTAACACCTGTCTCTCTCTCCACGCCCGCCTGCCTCTCCTCTCCTCCTCTCTGTGTTCCCGCCGCTGCCCTCGTCAGGTCGGAGGTTTAGCTTTATGTGTAACGACTCGGTCCTGTCCGCAGGCTTCCAGATCGACACCCCGGACAGCCTGGGGAGAACATGCCTTCATGCAGCTGCTGCAGGAGGGTGAGTCCTGCTGAACACACCTGTCCAGGAGTCCAAACAGCTTTCAAAGCTTTTACCCGAACCACGTTTTGGGAAAATAGAAAAATACAGAAATATTTCAACATAAACTTTTATTCTAATCAAAATCAGTAACTTTTCCATGTATATGTTAAACTTTACTCACCGTTCCAACAAAGTAAAAAAACAATCCAGTGGACTTTGTCTCCATGTTTAAAGACGTTTCTCTTCCATCCAGGAAGCTTTTTCAATTCAAAATGTCAAAAAAAGCGTTGAGTTCAAGGTTTTATAGAGTGGAACAAAAGTAAAGCCTTGTTTTTATGGAAGAAAAACAGTCTCATTGGAATCTGCCTTTTTTTTAACACCGGATTTTAAACACTGAATTTTTTTAAAGCTACAGTGTGTAATAATTACAGGGATATAGAGTCAGAAATGTAATATATTATACATAACTATGTTATTTATCATCATCTACGAGCTCAGCCTCTTAACCTTAATATTTGCGTT